CAGCAACAGAAACACTCTCATCAGGAAAGAGAGATGAAGTGAGGACAATTCTTTTCCTTTTGCAAAACCACAACCACTGTAGCAAATACAGAGGCGAGGGCAGAAGGTGGCTGATAGCAAGGTTTTTTCCCCCCTTCTTGACAAATACAAAAATATTTGTACCCATATCTGGTGCAGAAACTGCAGGTGAGCATGTATTAGATAGAAAGATCTTTTATAAGCCCAACTGTAGAAAGGTACATTTTAACTGTTGGAAGAAGAATTCTTTTAGCAGCTGGGAGAGAAACTTATCTATGACACTTTGACTAATGCCTCATTCTTAAAAATGGTATTTTAAAAGTTACAACATTGGCTGAGATTGTCACAATTGCTGCTTCTTTTGCACTCGATTTCTCTAAACAAACTTTTGTTCCAGGTGGGCTTTGCAGTGGGGCTCTACCACCATATATATGGTCCTTTGTGGGTCAAGGGGTCACCTGGCCTACCTAAGAGTGCTTGAGACTGCTGAATCAAAAGTGACCTCAACTTACCATCCTGCTGATGATCTTATTGAATTTGTGAGCCTGTGATGTAGAGGATGGTGCTAGAATCCCATCAAAACTTTCTTCTCCCAACTTCTTCATTTTCACCCCTTTTCTTAAAGAGGAAATTGTAAAACTGAAATATTATTGTGACCAACTGCTTCTTTCCAATTTAATAGTCATCTGGTTTGTTTTTGGCTTCACCTGCTCAGCAGTGTTTATTTGTATGTATGAGAGAGTATGGCCCAGACATTATGTAGACAAGCACAAAAATGCACATTATGGAAAAAAAACAAACAAACAACAACAACAACAAAAAGCCTCTCATGGAGGCCCACAAACCAAAAAGAGGTGCTCCAGTGATGAGTGCTTGGAGTTTTGCTGGGATTTCTTCTTTTTGATTACCTCGAGTTGCTGATAAATGATCACTGTTGGTGTGAACAGGGGCCTCAGGTTCAAGCTTTGCTGGTTGCCTCGTGCAGTGCAAGGTCTATAAACATTTCCAAAGAACAGTTTTAGAGAATTTGCAAATGGGAACATGTTTGCCAGGTAACGGTTGTGGTTCCAGTGAGTGACACTATGCAGACTGGCCTCTACAAATCTGTTGGAAAAGCGAATTCACTCGCAAGATGCACAATACAATTTGGTCTCTTTTTTTCCCCTCCCTATTCAGCAAGGAATCCAAGTCTATTTTCGAGGCAATAACTGAACATCTTTGCACCACTCTCTCTCTTTTCCCATGCTCCCTCTTTCTGCCCCTTTCTCTCTCTCTTTCCTCTACTTCCAGAAAGAAAGAAAGAAAGAGAGAAAGGAAGAAAAAAAGAAAGGAAGAGAAAGAAAGAAAATCTGACAAGGAGGAAAAGGGTTTTTGCAGTTTGCAGAGAAATAAAGCACTTCTGAGAGGGGATGGAGACGTGACTTTGAACTTGGCTCAGCTCCTCTGTGTCCTGCAGAGAGAGGAGAACTGGAGCGGGGAAAGAATAGCCAGGAGGGCCCAGCCCGCGGGGTCTCCAGCGGGAATGAAGGCGTCTGCCCCACCGCCTGGCAGCGCGAGGCCCCCGGAATCTAGCTCGAGCAAGCGCCCAGCCGCGCCATCCCCAAATGCAGGCGCTGCAAAGGAAGAATCAAAGGGAAAGCAGAGAATGGGTCAAAGAGGAGAAGGAGGGAGGGGTGAGAAAGTGGTAAAGGAGGAAAACTTGGAAGTCTGTTAGCTTCAAAAAAGGAAGGGAAGTGAGATCTTTGAATGTGCAGGACTGTTATTCTCACAATCAATTTCTAGGAAAATATTTGTTTGGTAATATTGTTTGGGATAAGCCATTCCAAGAACCTCCCTTCATTGTCCTCCCTCCCACTCTCCCCAAAAAAACTGACGAGGAAAGGAGTGCAAAAGATTGTGAGTTGGGCATTTTTAATAGATTCAAGGTAACAGGGCACTGCCTTTCTGCCTGGAGATCTCTTCTCTTCTCTTCTCTTCTCTCTTCTCGGTCGCGAGTAGTCCAACTTAGCAACTGCTTTCCATTCCTTTTACCCAAGAGTGAGAGGCGTGGAAAGAGACACATTTCCTCCTTCTAGGAAAGTCCAGAATCCCAGGCAGGCTCTCACACTTTCAGACCAGATGCCAGTCTCTCCCCCCCCCACACACACACCTTGTCGTCCATCCCCAAAGGCTGGGGAGGGGGAGGGACACATAAAGGCACCTTATGGAAGGGACAGCGGTCAGCTCCAACAGTGAGCGGACTCAAAATGAGACAAAAAAAAAAAAAATGGAGCAGCCGAGCTGGCTCGGAGGAGTCCCGATTCTCGGTTCTTCCCGCGTTTTTGTCCATTTCATTTGAACGTAACAGGAGAAGTGCATGTTGATTGTATTCCCTCCCTTTCATTTTATTTCAACGCGTAGAGATTTGGTGTTTTTTTTAAAGAAAAACAAAACAAAGCAAGTTTTCCAGGCCAAGCCTGCGGGAAGAAGGACGCGGGCTCGGGCCGCCCCTTCACACCTCCGCAGCCCCGGCCCGCGGCTCCCTCGAGGACGCCGCCTGTGGGCGGCGGACCCCGGAAC